TGCACAAGTAACATTATTTCTTTGAATAATATTAACACATTTGGAGATTTGATATTATAATGTCTATATTCATAGGGGTATTTATTATGTTTTAGGTACTTGTGCATGTGGATGTGATTGTACTGGTCCGTCAACCTGCAAGTGTCAATCTGGGTGCTCCTGCAAGTGAAAAAAAGACTATCACAACGTTAACGTGCATAATATATTCATACTTGTAACTCATATCATTCATACTTGTAACTGATATCATTCAAAATTGTAACTTATATCATTCATACTTGTAACTCATATCATTCATACTTGTAACTCATATCATTCATACTTGTAACCCATATCATTCATACTTGTAACCCATATCATACATACTTGTAACTCATATCATTCATACTTGTAACTCATATCAGACATAAATAAATCGGTGATGGTCACTGATATCAAATACACAAACATTTAATAATCTTATGTTTATATATATTTTGTATTTATAATGTTTTGTGTCCGTAAATGTCCATTCAATTTTAATAAATGATTGTCGTTTTTACAGTTTTCGTTTCTCAGTACATGATTATCTGGTAATCACAAGCATGTACAAAATATTTAGAGTAGTAATCACCAAATTGAGGTAAAACAAAATGCAGGAATGCCCTTCTGACAATGAAAAGGAACCAATTGCATCTACTTGCTATACACATAAAATACCTTTCAACTCGTTCTTCAAACCAAACTGATTGAAATACAGAATGTATGTCCTAGCTTCACTTAGCAAATCGTGGACACGGGATCTGTATTCTAATCAAATTGTCATCAAATAATCAAACTGTCTCGATTGTTTTTGGTAGTGTGCTCGCAACGAATGTATGAGGACATTGTTTCGATCCCCAGATAGGTCCATTTTTGATCTTATCCCCGGTGCAAACCAAAGACTTGAGAATTGGTATTTCCTGCTTCCGCCAGCCATGCAGCATTTAGAAGGCAGGAGGATATTTGTTCCTATGGACCCTTATTACCTTGAAACCTAGCACGTTGAAAATCCGAGTAAGTCGGTCTAATGTATGTTGTATTCATATCACACTAACATGTCAATGTTCTGAATATGATGATAGATCAGCCGTTTGACGTTTAGCAGTTATCAAGCAACCAAAAGGACACCGCTCACGAGGAGGGAGTTGTATTCTGCAGTCGAAGAAATTTCCTCCAGTTTCGACACCACGGGATTTAGTGATTGCAATCTGTGTGTATATATTAAGTTTTCGTTCTTTCAGGATAAGAATAGTAATGTCTCTCCACAAAGAAAAATGTATCTTTCTTAAAATGTTATTTCTTTTATTCTAGTTTCCCCCACTTTTTTGTTATTTTTTTTCTTTTGTTAATTTTGCACCGAGGGAAAAGTGGCTCGATAAAATGCCTCTGTGGTTTCAATGGAAGCTTCGATCGTTTTCTTACTGAAAAAAATTCATGACTAGATATTTGAAGTTGTCCTTTTTGATGTGTGCATATCCTTGGACTAGTTTTACACATTCTAAACTTGTCAGGTATAAGGTTGAGTAACGGCATTTTGGCTGACACTTATGTTGCAGAAAATGTTTTCAAGTGGTTAGTAGGACAAGCTGAAAGTAAGCACTTATCCCAGTCCATAACGGCAATGTTTAACATTTAACTGTAAACTACCTCAATCAAACTATCGTAGTGTTGACTGCACGTGCTCTCATATCTTTTTTTGTGCTGAAAAATCAAGCACCGACCAGGAGCTTTATTTAAAGAGCAGCACAGTTTGCTTGAAGGGGTGTCTGTCTTCGTCCCCGGGGTAGTGATGTAGTATTATGAAAAGGCAGGAAATGGGTGACGCTTGTGGAGCGTGTAGATGAAAGTGCCGCTACAAAAAACAAAACTTTTCAATTCTCGAATGTTTGTTGCTTGTAACATTCAATACTTGTTCCCTCATGTTCATGGTTCGATATAGCCGTTTTGTGTTGTTGTGGCGTAAAACACTCATACTCAACTGTAATAAGGGATTTATGCCCTAGCAGCACAGAACTGAATATATAAAATTCTGTAACTGAAGTATCGTATTGAAAGCTAAAGAACACATTAAATGAGTGAAATTGAGTTAAAATATTCAAATATATTCATTAACCAAAATTAAAACACAAAAAAAAAAAAAAAAAAAAAAAACCCGTTATATAGAAAAAAAGGGGGCATGTCCATAGCGCCTGGGTAGTCATATTAAACTTTTAGTCACTTTAATCAGTAATACTACCTTATATTTGTATGTTAGATATTAATATCATCGACTAATATAAACATTTTACTTTGAACTATTATTAACAGGGCCAATATTATTACTGAAAAGAGATAACGCCTCGTACTTAAAATTATAGTATGTCTGTTATGTCAGTGTAGGATAGATACTAATCGATATCGTTCCTAGTAATAGACGTGTTAGGAAAGGGATTTAAATACTGCGCTGATGTTAAATAACAATACCGATACGAAATTTAAGTGTGGACTTTCTCAAAATGCAATTGCATTGTAAAATATCCTGGCGTAGTATAGTTTTCGTTTGTGGTATGTTTGATACAATATAAAGTGAACAGTTAACGTCGACTCCTAATTTTAAGACGTGCATGGGCCTTCCGTAGATCTTCATATATTAATTTTTATTTGTTTGATTTAGGAGGGCAAACCAAAACTTTAAAACAAAATATATAAAAGGGTTAAGAATGGGAATTACGGCTTTTTACGGCCACAAGTCCAAATTTATACATTGAATGCTGTAAGTAGAATATGTTTAATAGTCAAATAATTCAGTTTGTCTCTCCATAAGTCTAGCACGAATTCAACAACTTGATTTGATTTTTGTAAACGTCTGATGGTGTGTTCCACATAAATTTGACACACTAAAATTCTATTATCTAGTTTTTTGCATTTTCTTTTTTCCCTTCGCGATGTTTGTCTTAGTTGGTGTCTCTTATGTGGCGTAACAATTGGTGGACGGTTCCCATGAATCATATCACCTAAAATAACACAGTTTGGAGGAAAATCCAATTCCAAGTTAGTGCTAATTCTTGTAAGAAGGTTGTCTTGCTGCGCATTGTTTTACGGAAGTTTGACAGACTGCAGCTTTTTTATGTTAAAAAAAGTATCCGTGATGAACATATTTTTTTTAATTTTTCAGTATTTTACTGATAAAAGGACTTTGTTTTTTGCAACTACAGAATGTATATAATCTGGGGTTAAAATTTTTTACACATCAATTACCTTCATCAAATTTATGAAACTTTGGCAGAAGCTTTTTATGATAATGTCTGAAGCAAAAGTACAAATATATATTTATTCTTCATTTTTCAATATTATAATGACAGACAACTTACTTTTCGGCAATTGACAGACGGTCTGGGATTAAATATGTTTGAAATGATCAATTTATAAACCTTCATAGATTGTTATGAAACTTGGGTGGAAGCTAATCTTCAAGATAAAAAAAAAGCATCTGAATAAAAAGTTTGATATATTTTTAAATCCGGTATTTGACTGATGAATGGATTATATTTTTACTGTCAACATTACACTATTACACTGACAGCAGGTTTCTGGATACCCCTGCTTCTACATCCAGAAAACAATAGAAATTGGTTTTTTTTAACAGCATGAATCCTAAGAGATTACTTATTGTGTTCACTACAAGTTGTTTCAAGACATATTAACAAACATATTTCAGGAAATTCCAATAGCGAAACAACATTGAAATACTCCTTTGCTTGAAGCTAAAATTTTAATCCAATATGGCAATGTCTTAAAGAACATACTAGTCTCTTCTGCCAAATCCAACGCCTGACTCAAAATGTCGTCCGTCTTATACCCGTCCATATTGACAACTGCATAAAAGGAGCATGATGTTTTTTTTTGTAATAATTTCTGCCCTGGACCCTCTGGGGCCTTCAGACGCCTCGCCGACGTCCAGGCGTACACTAGAAAATGACATAGCTACGCCACTGGGAAGCCGTGATACCAAGAAATAAAACTTCCGACCCTTCACCGAAACGTAAAATTAACATGCTTGAATAGTGCTTAAATGTGGTAATCTTTTAAAACTTAGTTTGATAACCTCTTGTGTTGGAAAAACTAACTGACGAAAGTTGTTAGAAAGAAAATGTTAGGGAAAATGTGATTTAGAATAAATAATTCAAACATTTTAACGTTTTTTTAGGTATTGTCCCTAGATAAAAATAAAAAAATAAAGATAATAAAATTGAATAGGCTTTTTTTTTATTTTTTAAGTACAAAAATCTCTAGTTCTTTTATTAGAATTTAAAGCTTCACATTTCTCTATTCTAGAAACATGATATAAAATAAGGAGATTTGGTATGATATCCAAAGTGGACATCCCGCATAAAAGCTATGAAAGGCCCCGACTTGAAAAGTATATTTTAAATAAATTTCAAATAAACGACATTTTTAACAAAGACTGATGTAGAGTAAAAAAAGACGATTCGGATGTGATTTAATTGCAGTGTTTTTTTATTCATTTATTTTGATCGCTGCGGATTTCCCTGTAGTTATTCAACAAAATAGTAAGAAAGGTGGAATAACGTTCTTTAACTTAATCGATCAATACTATGAAACATTACAATTTAATGATGATAATATAAATAATGATCGTGTTGATTTGCTGTATCCTCGTCAGTGTATTTCGGAACAAATTGTTAATATTTTATCGTTTAAAAAACATCTCAGCATTATCAAACAAATCAATACAGGTAACTATAATGAATGATTATCTGTGTTTATGAGATGGTCCCCACTATAGCCTGTAGTAATATTGGTATTTAACATCAGCGCCAAAATCGTATTGACTTTCCTAACACGTCTATTTAATGTCATTGTGACATAGTTTTACATATCTCCTTTATGCCTGTGTATGGAAACATGCCAGAAAGAATGTACATTAAAATATTTCGCTGTGTGCAAAACATCATCTGACATAAACCGTGTGCAAAACATCCGGTTCAAACTAAATACTATGTTATTACACAGAAAGATATGGATGTTTACGTGAGGCTCTCAAGAAGGGTCAGTATGCTGTCCGACATACATTGTAGTTATGAAATGTGAATATACTTTTGATAATGAAATAAAAATAAAATGTGAAATGATATAAGTCGATTATATTTTTTTTCATTAATTCCATCATGTCTTCGTTCAGTTAAGCTAGACCAATATGTTGATAGTGACATATGACATAGATTGTATTATGTCGGACCTCAGGTAACATAGTTTTTGCACACGAATGTTTCTAAAATGACTATATATAAAAATCGGCATACTATCAGGCAACACCCATTCTAAAATTTAGCTTAAGCAGACCAACCTTAAAAATGCCTGGACCTTGTAACTGTGTTGAAAGTAAGTAGCATATATCTAAAATATTTAATATGTTACTCGTAGTCCATCTGTCGTGAAATGTAATGTGTGTTCATTATTGAAAACGTAGGTCATGCATATTCATGATATTGTGACGACACATGTCAGTGCATTTAGGTTGTTATCAAGATTTAAAGATATACTGTAAAATATATTAAGGACGGGGAAAGGGGGTATTTTATTCATTATTTTGTGAAAATTCGTAGCAAAATATTAGGTATTTTTTTGGGTTGAATAACAGAAATAATAAAAACGATCATGCGGATTTAAGATTTTTTTATTGGTATAAATTTTAAGGAAACTATAATTTTTATAGATTGAATAATCATTCATTTTCACGATTATTTCTCTCCGCGGTCTTACAAGGGCAGCAAAATATTCAATTTCAACATACTCATGCGCCCTCGCCCTCCCCCCGCCCTTTTCCCCGAAAATCAAGTGGTCGTCCTAACCTGGATGTCGTTCATGGTTTACATGTAATAGTTATAATCGTAATCTTGAATATTAAGGTTAACCTACTGGGTATATAAAGGGTAAGATATTTGATATTTATATACTACAAGAGTGAAGGTTAAAATATTGTTTGTGAGTCATATGAAATCAATAATTCGGCTTCTTTTACTTTATGTGTAGCGAACGTGTGTTCCTGTGGTGCTGGATGTAGTGGGAAATGTTGTCAATGTGGAGACGCCTGCAAATGTGCAAGTGGCTGTGCATGCCCCGGATGTAGAGTTGTATGCAGATGTTCAGGTTTGTTCATATTTACAGTATTTTAAAAATAATACACATTTTATTCAATTTTAACAAACGCACGATTTTTTTTCTGTTCAGTAACTGCTTAAAATTGCGCATGTGAAAAAAATTAAAAACAATGTATGATTGGATGACTAATTTTTCAGGACGTTATATTGCATTCATTTACATATTTCCTTGTTTCTTGACCTATGATAGAGTATCAAAATCTGCACGGTATAGAATATTTCTTATCTGATTTGCTCAGGCACCGATCATTCTTTGGTAAAGGACAGAACAAGGAAGGGTGGGGTTGGGGTTTGATTCTGAATTTCCTGAAAAAGAAATTGTTTTGAAGTGAAATTAAAAATTAGTTTTTTGTTTGTTTGTTTTCTTAATTTCTTTTTATCAAAATCAATAAATATGTTTTTTCTCTGGAAAATAACACCATGCTCCAACAAATATGATCTGTCGGTGCTAAAAAAAATATTATGTACTATAAAATGTCTAATACACGAAGTGATATTTGATTCAATGATTATATGATCAATAAGAGAACTCACCGCCGTAGAACAAATGACGTAGAAGCTAGAAACTATAGGTCACCGTACCTTCAACAATGAGCAAAATCCATACCGCATAGCAAGGTATAACAGGTCTTGATATGGCAAATGTAAAACAAAACGAGTAAACTAACGGCCTGATTTATGCACAAACAAATAAACAGCTTGATTTCCGGTGGTTCAAAAAGTATTTTTGCTTTCGGGGGATATAGGTGATTTTTTTTTATACGGTATGTCATGTCAACCAATTAAGATTTTTCCTACGAGTATAATGAGCACTTTGCGCAAGTAACATTATTCCTTTGAAAAATATTAACCTTTTTGGAGATTTGATATTATAATGTCTATTCATAGGAATGTTTATTATGTTTTAGGTACGTGTGTATGTGGATGTGATTGTACTGGTCCGTCAACCTGCAAGTGTCAATCTGGGTGCTCCTGCAAGTGAAATAAAGACTATCACAACGTTAACGTGCATAATATATTCATACCTGCTACTCATATCATTCATAAATAAATCGGTGATGTTAACTGATATCAGATAAACTATTTGTTGAAAAGTATATATTTTGTATTAAAAATGTTTTGAGATCGTAAATGTCCATTCAATTTTAATAAATGATTGTCGATTTTACAGCTTTCGTTTCTCAGTACAGGTTTATTTGGAAATCACAAACATGTACAAAATATTAAGAGTAGTAATCACGAAACTGGGGTAAAAAAATGCAGGAATGTTCTTCAGACAGTAAAAAAGATCCAATTTAATCTACTTGCTAAACACATCAAACCTTAACATTACATTTCAACTCGTTCATCAAACCAATCTTATGAAATACAGAATGTATGTCAACATTTAGAATAGCAAACCATGGACACAGGATCTGTATTTACATCAGATTGTCCTCAAATAATCAAACTGACTAGATTATTTGTAGTAGTGTGCTCGCCGCGAATGCATGTTGTCATTGTTTCGATCCCCGGCTAGGTCAAGCATTGCTGTGATCCCTGGTTCAAACCAAAGACTTGAGAATTGATATTTGTCGCTCAGACCAGGCACGCAATACAAGCAAACTGAAAGTATTTTTCATTCTTCCCTATTATCAGAAAGGAAGCAAAAAAGTTTTAGAAACGAAAATCCAAACAACTACCTATTAATTTCATTTAAAAATTTATATCAAGATTAACGCCGTTTATTTGCACTACCGATATAGCTCTTATATTTGCCACTGGACATATAACAACAGTGAATGAATTCGATTATGTTACGGGTTTCTGTTGAAAATTGAATGAAAAACCCGCCCAATATTTAACACAAGCCTTATTCAAATATTATCCATACCCCCTGAAATTGAATTCATTAGTACTATATTTAAATTATAACAACGAACAATCAAATAAAATACCGAAGACGCCATTTTGACCATTTCAGTTTTTTGGACTATTTATTCTATTAAACTACAATATTATTGTAGAGACTATGCGAATGAATATTTTGTGTTTTTAATTGATATATATATACATAAAAATGCAACAAACGATTTTTGCTGTACAAAATCAAAATATTTCAAGGAAATGATATCTTGAACGGTAAAATTAAAATCAAATCTTTATGAAATATATTTTCTCTTACTTTCATTATTGAATAATGTTATTGTGTTCAATATTACAATAGAACTCATTGACTCACACACAGTTAACGCACTTGATATTTTGAAAATGCAAAACTATCTGTGACAAAAATTCAGCGAAGGTTTGTGTCGGAAAACAAATTGTGGATCATAATGTTGAATTTTAGTGAATATGATACTATAATTTACACGATGGAACTACGACTCGCAAATAAAAGCTGTTTGTAATTAATGAGATATTTAGTGTACATTGTATTACTACAATCCCAATTCTAAAAAATCCAGTATCTAACGTTTAAGTAGATTTCATCTTCAGTCACTATCGCGTTACGTCCTTGAGAATTATTCCCATGGGTGAACACTTTTTCAGAAGAGTTCCCATGGAAATATCCTAAGGGCAAAACGTCGGGATGAATGAAGACGAACAATAGAAAATAACTCTCCATTCCTGAAAAATAATGGAGAGTTTGAACAAAAGATTTACGTCACAAGTGTATTTTACAATTAAAAGGATTTTATAGGGACTTCAAAAATATATCAGAAACTATAAACTTGTCCCCTCCCTAGTCTTTCACAGCATATTTAGTTAACATTAACACATACTAGTACATCAATCAAACTGTATTGTAGTGCTGACTACGCGTGCTCTTACGTTCATGTGGTTGAAAAATCAAGAGGCAACCAAGAGCTTTACCCCTAGAGGAGCCTAGTGCGCTTGAAGGAGTATGTGTCTTCGTCTCAGGGCTAGTATCGTAATTTAATAGATATCCAGGCAGTTAAACATAAAATGTGACGCTTCTGGAGCGTTAGAAATCAAGTTGATGAATGTGTAATTACATACAAAGGGCATTTTTTTTCATTTCTCGACTATGTGCTGCTTGTAACATTTAAAACTTGTCCCTTATGTTCATCGGTTCGATATAGCCGGTTTGTTCTGTTGGGGCATAACACACTAATAATCAGCTGTAATAAAGAATGTATGCCTTATCAACAGAAAACGGAATATATAAACTATTGTTATTGCATCATCATATTGATAAGAGCAAGAATACTTTAAATGAGTGAAATTGAGTTAGTATAATAAAAGATATTAACTAAAACAAATAAAATACAGAAAAAACCAAATATTTAGAAATATCTAGAAATATATAGAAATGGGGTTGGGGGGTGGGGTGGGGGGTTGGGGGGGAGGAAGTGTGCATGTCCATAGCGCCTGTATTGTCATATTGAAGTAGCTCTTGGAATTATCGACTAATTTAAACATTTAAATTTAAACAATGAGTCACAGGGCCAATATTAATACCGAAAAGAGATAACAACTCGTACTTGATATTATAGTTTGTCTGTTATGTCAGTGTAGGATGCATATTAATCTGTCTTTCTATTAAAGGTCATTGTGACATAGTTGTACATATCTTATTCATAAATATGTACGGAAACATGCCAGAAAGTATAAATTTACATCGATATGGTTTTAACGGTCAGTTCTGCATTCAAATATTAAAAGAAAGGCGAAAGATACGAAAATGGACATTAAAACTCATAAGTAGAAAAAAAAATGGAAGTTAAAAGAGAGAAGAGTTTATTTTCCAATTTATTACGCCTTATTCAAACTCATCAGTCGAAAATAAAACTATGAACAAATAAATACCCGTTCTCTAAATCACCTTTGGAGTTTGGAACTTTTGGTATATATGGGCAAGTGGTTTAAGGAAGGGGATGAAATTGTTCCTTCTATTTTTAAATATAATCATGAGACTGATCTGTAGTTTTCGAAAACTAAATCATCATTATAGATAACCATGCTCTTGCGAAAATAAAAGTTTATACTTTTCAAAGATAATTTGAAAGTCTTTTATTACGAAAATATGTGTGCACTGATTTTAAGGGTAAAAATGCAAGTACGTTTCCTTAAAGCTGCATTTTCTATAACATTATAGAATAGAAGAAAACCATCAGATCAAAGAAAACTGTGTTCTTACTTTCAGTTACCTGTGCGTGTGAAGCAGGATGTACTGAACCTACAACGTGTAAATGTATGCTGCTAGTAACATTTAAAACTTGTTCCCTCATGTTCATCGGTTCGAGATAGCCGCTTTGTTCTGTTGGAGCGTAACACACTAATACTCATAATACTCAGCTGTAATAAGAGATTAGTGTTTTATCGTTTGAATTGCTTTACATTTGTCATATCGGGGACTATTATAGCTGACTATGCGTGATGAGTTTTGCTCATTGTTCGGTGACCTATGCCCTATGTCCTATGTCATTTGGTATCTAGGGGAGAGTTATCTCATTGGCTATCATAGCACATTTTCTTATTGTATATTAATGTCCCATCAGCACAAAACGGCATATATAAACTACTGTTTTTGCAACATCGTATTGATATGATCAAGAACACATTACATGAGTGAAATTGAGTTAGGATTTTTAGACAATTAATAAAAAAAAAAAGAAAAAATAAAACACAAAGAAAATAAAACACAAAAAAAAACCACAAAAAAGAGGGGAACATTTCCATACCGCCTGTGTAAATAGATATACTCCCTTATAGTTTTATGTTTGTTATGTCAGTGAATGATGGATATTAATCGTCCTTTTTCAAATGTCATTTTGACATAGTTTTTCTTATTCATAAATATGTATGGAAAAATGTCGGAAAGTATGAATTTATATCGGTAGTATTAACGGTCAGTTATTCATTTATTCATTCAAACTTTAAATTTGCGAATAAATAAATACCCGTTCTCTAAAACACGTTTAGAGTTTTGATTGTTTGGTATATGTGGGCGAATGGTTGTGGGAAGGGGGTAGAATTGTGTCTTTGTTTTTAAATATAATCACAAGATTGACCTGAATATTCAACAAATTAAATTATCATTTTTGCTAACCGTGCATAATGGTTTACTTTTATAAATTTTGACTTGGATGGAGAGTTGTCTCATTGGCACTCATACCACATCTTCTTATATCTATCAGCGAAAATTACATTTCATACTTTTTTACAGATAAATTGAGTCTCTTATTACGAAAATATGTGTGCACTGATTTTTAGGGTGGAAATGAAAATAAGTTTCCTTAAAGCAGCATTGTCTGTTACATAATAAAATTAAAGAAAACTGTGTTCTTATTTTCAGGTATCTTTGCGTGTGAAGCAGGATGTACTGGACCAACAACGTGTAAATGCATGTTGCTTGTAACATTCAAAACGTGTTCCTTCAAGTTCATCGATCGGTTTGATAAACTCGGTTTGTGCTGTTGTGGCGTAACAGCGGCTTATAATCAACTGTAATAACGGGTCTATGCCCAAGCAGCACAAAACGGCATAAATAAACTACTGTTAAGAGCAAGAACACATTAAATGAGTAATACTCCCTTATATAGTTTATGTTAGATATTAAAATCATCAACTAATTTAAACATTCTAATTGCAACTATTATTCATAGGTCCAACATTATTACTGAAAAGAGATAACGACTCGTACTTAATATAATGTCAGTATAGGATGAATATTAATCATTCCTTCATATTATTAAATGTCGTTGTGACATAGTTTTACATATCTTATTCATAAAGGTGTTTTGAAACGTGCCAGAAAGTATAAACTAAATATATATCGCTGTGAGCAAAACATCACCTGACATAAAGCGTGTGCAAAACATCACCTGGCATAATCCGGTTCAAACCAATTGCTATGTAATTACGCAGTGACATACAGATTTCGACATGAGGCTCTCAAGAAGGGTCAGTATGTTGTCCGACATACGTTAGGTTATAAAATGTTAATATACATTTAGAAATAAAATAAAAAATCCAAATATACAATGATTTAGATTGGTCATATTTTTACTATTTAAACCACGTCCTTATTAAGTTAAGCTAGACTTAAATGTTGAAAATGACATATGAGATAGATTGTACTATGTCGGACCTCAGATAACACAGTTTTTGCACACGAATTCATATGAGATAGATTGTACTATGTCGGACCTCAGATAACACAGTTTTTGCACACGAATTCATATGAGATAGATTGTACTATGTCGGACCTCAGATAACACAGTTTTTGCACACGAATTGTTCTCAAACGATTATATAAAAATCGGCATACTATCAGGCGTTACCCATTCTAATCTTTATCGTAAGCAGACCAACTTAAACGAATAAAAATGCCTGGACCTTGCAAATGCATTGAAAGTAAGTACCATATATATATATCTAAAATATTTAATTTGTTACTCGTAGACAATCTGTGGTGAAATATAATGCGTGTTCGTTATTGAATACAAATATCATGCATATTCATGATATTGTGACGGCACATGTCTTAAAAAATGTTAATGAGTGCATTTAGGTTATTATTAGAGATTCAAAGATATATTGTAAAATATATAAAGGACGAGGGAAGGGATGTTTTAATCATTATTTTGTGAAAATTCGTAGCAAAATATAAGGTATTTTTTGGTTTAAAGTACAGATATAAAAATAAAAATCGATTATGCGGTTTTGGACTTTTTTTTATTGATATAAATTTTAAGATAACTATAATGCGCAAGAAGTATGTACACTCTTCTCGATGTCTTAAATTTGTTCCTCTTTTACCTCTCATCTCACTTTTCCCGTCTACTTTTTCAATTGTTCATTATCTATTACTGTCACCCATAAGAGGAGACCAATTATTATTCTAGGGGAGGCCAGACGGATTTTTTGAGGATTGAAAAATCATTTATTTTCATGCTTATTTTTTTACCGCGGTCTTATCAGGGCAGAATGTTCATTTTCGATATGCTCCAGCACCCTCCCCCCCCCCCCCCCGGGCACCCCCGGAAAATCAAATGGTCATCATAAAACCTAGATATCGTTCATAGTTTACATGCAATAATCGTTATCTTGAATATTAAGATATTTTAATAATAGGTAAAAAAAGGGTCAGATATTTGGCATTTATATGCTACAAGTTGAAATAACAAGATTGATCATGAGTCATTTCAAATAACTTATTCGCCTCCTTTTCTTCATGTGTAGCGAACGTGTGCTCCTGTGGTGCTGGATGCAGCGGAAAATGTTGTCAATGTGGAGACGCCTGCAAATGTGCAAGTGGCTGTGCATATCCTGGATGTAAACTTGTTTGCAGATGTTCAGGTTTGTTCATATTTACAGTATTTGAAAAAGAATACACATTTTATTTATATTATTTCAATTTCAACAAACGTGTGATTTTGTTTTCTGTACAGTAACTGCTCAAAATTGCGCATGCGTAAAAAGTTAAAACAATGCATGATTGGATGACTTATTTTTCAGGAGGTTATATTTTTTTGATTTACATATTTCTTTGTTTCTTGACTTATGATAGATTATCGAAGTCTGCATGATATAGATAACTTCTTATTTGTTTTTGTTTAGACACCGATCATTTATTATATGAAAATAAAAGTCATCGTTTCAGAAGAAAAGTTAAAAAAAAAGTTTGCTGTGTTCTTGTATATATGTGACTATTTTTTTTATTTTTTTATTTTTTTGTTTTTGTTTTTTTTTCTCTTTTTTTTTTTTAGTTTTTTTCCTTATCAAAATCAATTATATGTTTTTTTCTCGAGACAAAATAACACCATGCCCCACAAAATAGGAATTATTGGTGATTTAGATCTTCATATGTACCATAAAATGTCCTAATACACGACAATAAAATTTGATCCAATTGCACGTACAAACATTCAGCAAAAAGATCTGATGAGGATTTGATAGTTCCTTTTGTTTGCTATTGTCTGTGCATATATATATATAGAGGTCTCGTCTTAGAATATAACAGTTTTAGTCTACTTACCAAAATAATAATATGTGGTATGATCAACGAAACAACTCTCCACCAGAGAACAAATTACGTAAGAGCTACATCACAGCAACTATAGGTCACCGTACTACAAACAATGATCAAAACCCATAACGCGTGACAGATTTAAAAGTCGCACAAATCAATAAACAGCATGATTCACGGTGGAACACAAATATATGACTGCGTTTAGTGGGTACATCTGATTTTTAGTTATATGGTATGTCGACCAATTAAGATTTTTCATATGAGTTTAATGTGCACTTTGCACAAGTAACATTATTCCTTTGACAATTATTAACAAATTTGGAGATTTGATATAATATTGTCTATATTCAGAGGGGTATTTATTATATTTTAGGTACTTGTGTATGTGGATGTGATTGTACTGGTCTGTCAACCTGCAAATGTCAATTTGGATGCTCCTGCAAGTGAAAAAAAGACTGTCACAACGTTAACGTGCATAATACATTCATACTTGTAACTCGTATCATTCATAAATCGGTGATGTTCACTGATATCAAATAAACAAACTTTTAATAATCTTGTTGTTAAACAATATGTATTTTGTATTGAAAATGTTTTGCGTCCGTAAATGTTCATTCAATTTTAATAAATAATTGTTGTTTTTACAGCTTTCGTTTCTCAGTACATGATTATCTGGTAATCACAAACAGTAATTGAGTTAGAAAAATGCACGAATGTCCTTCAGACAGTAAAAAAGAACCGATTTAATCTACTTGCTATACACATTAAACCTTAAGCTTACATTTCAACTCGTTCATCAAACCAATCTGATTGAAATACAGAATGTATATCAACATTTAGTATAGCAAACCGTGGACACAGGATCTGTATTAACATCAGATTGTCCTCAAATAATAAAAATGACTAGATTGTTTCTAGTAGTGCGCTCGCCGCGAATGCATGTTGTCATTGTTTGATTGTCCTCAAATAATAAAACTGGCTAGATTATTTCTAGTAGTGTTCTCGCCGCGAATGCATGTTGTCATTGTTTGATTGTCCTCAAATAATAAAACTGGCTAGATTATTTCTAGTAGTGTTCTCGCCGCGAATGCATGTTGTCATTGTTTGATTGTCCTCAAATAATAAAACTGACTAGATTATTTCTAGTAGTGTGCTCGCCGCGAATGCATGTTGTCATTGTTTCGATCCCCGGCTAGGTCAATCATTGTTGTAATCCCTAGTACAAACCAAAGACTTGAGAATTGGTATTTGTTGCTCACATCAGACACGCACCATTTAGAAGTAAGCATAATGTGTCCGATTGGGATATTTGTTCCTGTTGGCCTGTATTACCTCGAAACCTAGCACGTTGAAAATACCAGTGGGTCGGTCTGATGCATGCTGTTTTTAAAAAACACATTTCACATTTAATTTACATGTCAATGTCCTAGCTGAATATTATGCAATATTAGCCGTTTAACGTTCAGCAGATATCAATCAATCAAAAGGACACCACTAACAAGGAGGGATTTTTATTCGGCAATCGAAGAAACTTTCTATACCACTGGATTCAGTAGTTGCAATTTGTGTGTATATAATTAAGTGTTCTAACTTTCAGGACTAGACCAGTCATGTCTCCCCACAAAGCTAAAGAAAATTGCCTCTTCCTTAAAGTATAATTATTTCTTTTATTCTAGTTTTCCCGTCTTTTTTGTTTGTTTGTTTTAATTTTTGTAAATTTTGCACCGAGGGAAAACAATTGCCTCGGTAAACTTTCTCTTTGGTCTCAATGGAAGCTTTGATCGTTTTGCAACTGAATAATTTCATGTCTAGATATTGTAAGTTGTCCTGTGTGAGATGTGCACGTTCTGGAATAAGAAGACACTTTGGTGTCTCATTCTGAACTTCCGTCAATTACAAGTTTGCGTAACGCCATATCTGCTGATACATTCAAGTGGTAAGGAGGATTTGTAGAACAAGCTGAAAAGAACGCACTGTGTTATTTCAGTTTTGTCTTCACATGTCACATAAAGATAATGATGTTATAGAGAAAGTCCAAATAACTGTTCATTCCTGGGAAATAATGGAGCGGAGGCCCGTATCTGAAAATATGTTCCAGCCCTGTAAAAGTTGTTCCGGAACTAATTTTTAACCAAATGTGAAATAAGTTCCGGAACAAATATCACAGCGCCATGAATTTCGTTCCGATATAAATTGTTTAAAAAAAAGTAAAATAAATTCCCGTTATAAAAGTTAAAAATTTTTGAAATATCAAATTAAGTCAGCATATCTGTTGTAAGTAGATAATATTTAATAAAAAACAAATGCACAATTAAGATTAACAACGGTGATAAATAATTTAAACACCGTGACTATTTTAATTTTTCTACAAATTCTGATACAAAGTAACAAATATGTTTAATCGTAATATTCATATATAAAAGATTGGCGACATTTTGGCTCGTTTGGACTTGCGTAGGACAGGAGTTGAGGTATCAACATGGCCTGATTCTAGAACATCTATCCTGTCATGATCAACAGATGTGTTGACAACAGACGTATTAGACAAAGTTGACATATTAAAGTATGTGTTCAAAGATTTCTCTGATGACATGTCATCGGTTAACATGAAATTTGCCTGGCCTGATGGAAGATCAACATCTGAATCTGAATGGTATACACATGACACATGATGGACCTGTGCTTCAGTGACAACTAATTTGTTCATTGCACTGACATTAGCTACGTTTTCATTTGTACTCGCAGTTGCCAAATTATCATCTTCCATTTGATTATCATCATCATCATCATCATCATCATCCTTATTGTTGTTGTTAGCATCAGGTTGATACCAAATTTTCGAATTCTTCTGATTGTGAGGTCCAATATTTTTTTCACCATTACTGAGCATATAGTTACCTTTGCCGCAATACTTTTTGATTGAATATGGGTCCTGATACCTCAATTGTTATACGGTTGCTAAGCCAGCTTTGCGGTGGAAATTTTTTAATAAAACTTGTTGTCCTTCCTCATAAGTTTGTTCAGATACATAGTGACGGTTATCGTAATTAACTTTTTGTCTCTTTTGAGCAATCTGTACATTTTCTATTATTTTATTTTCTATGATCTTCCTCCTGGCAACCAGCTCATCTACAATTTCCACATTAATTTCATTTAGCTGAACAATAGGCGCAATTCCTTTTTCATTTATTAAGATGGGCTTTCTCGCATACATAGCTTCAAAGGGGTTCACTTTAGTGCTTTCATGAATACCAACTCTGTAGGCAAATAATGCTTCGTTTATAAATAAATCTCATTTCTCAGGTTCTTGGTCAACCAATTTATTAATCATTGTTTTAAGAGTGCTATTAATGTTTTCAACTAAACCACTGCTTTGGGGGTGATACGGGCTTGTTGTAATATGTCTTATATTGTAATCTTTAAACGGATGGTCAAGAACTTTACTTTGAATTCCCCACCACAGTCCGAAATAACTTGATCTGGAGGTCCAAATCTAAATATTGTATCTGCCATTTTTGATGCGACTTCACTAGAGGATTTTGAGTAGATTGGTACAGATTCCGGCCACTTTGAAAGATAGTCAACCATAGTCAAAACATACTTGAAAAAAAATAATAATCTTTATTGTCATATAAACAAATTTAACATGTTTGTGACAAACCGAAAAAAAAACTAACATACACTCATACATATAATATATGTTACATCGGTTGTGTTATTTATACAATTTCTAAGCTAGCTTATCTATTCAAACAGTATGAAAACTTCCTGTCTAAAAATGAAATTATCTAGCTATAGAAGACATAGAAGAAAGACATACAACAATCGGTTTAAACATATTTAAAATTATCTGTTATCTGATTAAAATGTTCCTATAATAGAATGCACATTTGTAGACAGATTAAACAGTTATTTCCCTTTATTATGGTTTCATTTTACAAACATATTATCCTCAAACAAAGGGGCCTCGGTGGTCGAGTGGTCTAAGTAGTTACTACTGTAATCACTAGCCAGTCAACACTGAGGTTGTGAGTTCGAACCCCGCTCGTGCGGGTGCACTCGACTCCAATCTTAATTGACTAGGATTGTCAGTTTTCCTATCGAAGGTCGGTGGTTTTCTCCGGGCGCTCCGGCTTCCTCCACCAATAAAAACTGGCCGCCACGAAATAGCACAAAAGCGGTGCTTAAAAGTGGCGTTAAAACACCAAAAATCAAATCAAATCAAATCCTCAAACAAAATCAAAACTCATAAACATATTATATAATTTAAATGTTAACATGTAGGAAAAATCCTTATATTTAAAGTTGTAAAAAACATATTTAAATGTTTAAATGCAAAATATACAGATATAAATATACCGCGTCAATTCATACTGCATGTCAGTTTATAAACTTATTGGGTACATTTTCTGAATTCATCAATACATTAAACTTAAACCAGTAAGGTAATATATTTGTTTTAGGTATTTTTGTCATATAGCTCTTCAACTGTTTCGGTACTTGTACATCCCTCGGATTTCAAATGTTTGGCTTTGAGCGTTCCTGATGAAGGTAAATCCAGAAACGCGTTTCGGACGCATGAAATTATTAAACGTGTTGTTTTCAATTTTTCACTTCATTTATGTATTAAGTTTTCTTGAACATACTTGAATGATACTTAAATATTTAATTAAGGCCTACATAAATGTAATATAAAGGATTGTATCTGTAGCCATTAGATGATAATGATTGCTTCTGTTGAGTCAGGAAAGGTCCTATCAGATCTATTCCTATCTTCCCCCAATTGCAAACTCTTCTACCAACAGGGACAAATGTGAGCTCTGGAATTGCAGTTTTAGCCTTCTTGTGTTTCACATTGTTGAACATATTGTTTTGTATCACTCACAATACCTTTCCAGTAATATCCAAAGGATCCATATTGGATGTTTACACTTTTTATTATTATATATTATCAATGTATTGCTTGTTTTATAATGTACTTGAATGATAACTTTAAACTCACTAATGACAATGCTCATTATTAAAGATAAGTTGTATAACCAGTGGAACATATTTCACAGACTAGGAACTTATTTCACCGGGTAAGGAACAAATTTCATAGAATATGAACTTATTTCACAATGTAAGGAACAAATTTTATAAACCCAGAACTTATTTAACAAGGTAAAGTGTGGAACTTATTTTATACTTACATTTGTAAATAGAAATTGTCTGTGAAAAAAGTTCTCCCGGTCTATATTTCATTTGATATTTGTTCCACTGGAACTTTTATCACAGGAACAAATTTTGGCTCACAGATACGCACGTCGTTTTTGTAGTGGGACTGAAAGGATATTTATTTGTGTCTTTAAGTGGTATTTCGGGATAGTATAAACAAACTAGTATTTATGCATATATGTTAATAGATTATGTGTGTTTTTCGTTTGATAAATATTGGATGTAGAATCGTCTGTGAAAAGTGAAATGGTACAACTAGAATGAATTTCCAGGTATGTAACACTCTAGTAT